CGTCGAAAATTACATTGTATATATAAGGTTATTTTTTTATGTATTATATTAGATGTTGAATCTCCTTAGTTTCTTTGCATATTTATTTTTTATTTTTTAAGTTTTTTTGGTGAAAATTCGGCTTGCACCACTAATCACGACGTGCATTCTTGAAAACAACTTTCCTGAAGTCATGAGATATGAAGATTAGGAAAAAATGAGTAAACATTGAAAAGCCTCAAAGAGTTTGATGTGTTTCAAAGCATATGCATAAACTAGTGCATGCACCTACATGTTCTGCCCGAATTATATGTCAATATAATATTTTTAATATCATATATTCACAATAATAATGTATGTAAATTTACGCAACATTCTTGATTTAGTTTGATCCGCCTTATGATAAGTTTAATTTAAGTTTTAGTCCACTGATCAACACGCAGAAAGGGGCTGAATATCCTTGTGGATCAGCCAAATTATGACCAAAGATAACTTTATCAATAGCTTTTTAAGTAAAGAGTAATCTTTTTTGTTCACAGGATAGACACTAATTTTCTTTACTCCTCTATCACTTTACGTTCAAAAGGAAAAAAGATGTTAATACTTGCTTGCCTCCTCGAGGAGCCTAATTGGGGTTGCTGTGGTCGGTGGAGGGATTATTTTTTAAATTACTATTTTATGAATAACTAGTAAAAGAAATCAGATATTACAGCACTTAAAGGTGTGACCTGGTATAGACCAAAATTTCAATAAAGATAAAAAAATATTAGGTAATTTCTTCCATTTTTTGAACATAATTGACAAACTTACATGGTAACAAGTACTATTACTATTGTTAGAAGGTAACAAGTACTATTACTTAATAAAATAGTCTAGGTGTGTTTGACTGATAATTCACACATTATTAGAGCAGCAAATGTTGCCTTTTGATAGCAGAAGCCACACCCGTTGTCACAAATAGTAATTGATGTCGTGGACTCGTGGTACGTCTCATTTGCTGACTTCAAATCTTATATAATGAAACAATATTCGTGTTTGATTCCCAAATTTTTTGCCCCTTATCAAGTAAACTGCCAAATAATGAGATCCATTTTATATCAAAAATAGTACTACTAAATATCATCAATTTAATGGGCCTATCTGTATGTAGTTGGCAACTGTTGAAACTTATCAGATCCAAATCTCAATAATGATCTACGGCCTAAATGTTTTACCATTTCCCACTTCTTCTAAAGCCCAACAAAATAATGCATTACATTGGACTTTCCATGTTGAATCACTCAGTGGACAGTACCTTTTCTAGGTTGGGCTTCTATTATGCACCCTAACATCGACAAAATAAAATTGTGTAGAAATATGACACTTTTTGGAATGGTCCTTTTGACCTCCGCTTGCCGTAGGTGGAACTTCAAGTTCAAAAAATCATAAGTGTATACTTATTAAACTTGAAGTTTTGCCTCTTGGGCAAGCGAAGCTAAAAATTCAAAATCATCTACTTTGAGAGCTATTTGAGTACTTCACCCGACAAAAATCATAATGAAACCATGAACATTCTCCTTATTAGAGGTCCTATTTCGTAAAATTCTTTTCTAAATAATCAAAATTAATTGGATAGAGCCTTTACAAATTAACAAAGAAACTACAATGTATAAAAAATTTCCCTCCAATAACCTTGATTGTTACAGGATAATAATGTTATTAGCAATATTTATTGAAAACTTAAAAAGTTATTGACCAACTCAACTAAGCTTTTTCTCGTCTAACTAATAGTCTGTTTGGCCAAACTTCTAAAATCAGCGTATTTTGAGAAGTGTTTTTCTCTGAAGTACTTTTCAAAAAAGTGCTTTTGGTGAGAAAGAGTTTGTGTTTGGCTAATTAATTTGAAAAGCACTTTTGAGCAATAATTAGTGTTTGGCCAAACTTTTGAAAACTGTTTCTAAGTGTATTTTTGTCAAAAGTGCTTCTCAGAAAAGTACTTTTGAAGAGAAGCTATTTTTTTCTGCTTCTCAAAAATTGCATCTGCTTCTCCTCAAAATCATTTTTTTCCATCTAAAAGCTTGGCCAAACACTTCAATTTTTGGCTAAAAGTACTTTTGGCCCAAAAAAAAACTTGGCCATAAACCTTGAGTCATCCTCCATCTTGCAGCCAATCTTTTTGTTTTTCCATTTTTTTTCTATTAATATCTAATAGTTGGTGGAGTGACACGTGAATAATGGGGTACAAAGATTGCATAAGTGAGGCCTTTGGTCGAATGGGAGATTTTCATAATTACCTATGGATTTTAAAAATATTTCATAATCTACAACTAGTAATAGAATAACATATTCTACAACAAATGTTAAAATATATACGCTAAAAAAGGTAGATTTTCTAATAAAGGGGAATTCTAATTTGCAACTTATCCCATAATTAGCTCCTAAAATTCTTTAATTTATTAATCATTGATTATTACTATAAATACATTCGGTTATCATTATAACACTATCTCATACCAATATACAGTATATATAATACATATATTATATATAACTATATAATATACAAATATTAATTAACACTTTGCAAAAATGCATAGAACAATTTTAATATAGTCTACCTTTAATTTATAGTAAAGTGTATATACATAAATAAGTATTATACAATATCTGAGATATAATATTGTGGGGAGAAAACAAGTTGGGTGATAAGAATGGTTCCAATTCAATTCCATCACCGTTTCTAAAGAGAAGAAGTTTCAGAATTTGATGTTGGAGTGACTGGTGAGATATTATTTGATGAGAGAGAAAATATGATAATTTTAAACTTAATGTAGTGATATGCTTTAATTGGTATAATCCCTATTTTTTAGGTTCAAGTTTTAAGAGAGAGATATTAGGGATGAGAAGTTATGTATAATTTAATTAAAAAGGTGAGATTTTAAAATAAGTTGCATTATTTGTAATTTTCGAGAAGTAGTTGTAAGTTATTTAAATAGGTCTTAAATATATTGTATTCTATGTAAATTTCTCTATAATCTATGTATATAGGCTAGAAAAAGAATAAAATGAATCCGATTGGCTATTTGTGTAACAATATCCATACTTTTCAAGAGGCCCAATGCATCACTAAACAAGCCCACAATGATGTTGGCCCATATCTAGACGATAAAACAAAATAACTACATCAAGGAAATAAGCTTATTCACAATATTTAAGAAAATTTTGGCAGCTAATTAAATACATTTCTAGCAGGAACCTATAATGTTAGGACCAATCCCATTAAAATAGGGATTAGTAATTAATAGTAATTCACATAAACAAAAGTAAAGAGAGAGGTTAGAGTAATACTAAAACCACAATTGATGGACGTGTTACAACTCGAAACCTTAGAAAATGTGAGTGTAATTCTTCCGAGTAAATGAAAACAAAAGAAAATGACAAATTAATGAATGCAAAAGGCAACGCAATAATTAAGCATATAAACATATCTGTTAAAACAAGACATTAATTTCATTAATAACTCCGAAGGATAAGCCGTAAAACTTTCATACAGGTTTATCTTAGACTTACACCAATTTAATAGTTCTAGAGTCTTATCGCAGCGAAATACACATTTTAATTTCTACATTAAAAGTGAGTGTGCCACTACTAAAAAGAAGAAATTAGCGATGGATAAATTTTGTCATTAAAAGAAAAAATATTTAGCGACGGATTATCAAAAAATTCTGTTAGCTTCCAGCGATTTAGGAACAGATTAGCAACGAAATTCGTAATTAATTTTTTAAAAAAAATTGTAGAAAAAAGAATACTTTAAAAAAGGATATATGTATATTCCTTTTTGTAAAAGAATTTAGGCATAATGCACGCTAGTGTGTCTTGTAGACAAGACAAGTTAATTAGGTGGAAGAAGAGAAGGGGAGGTTTGTTTTCCTCCTCCTGTAAATACCTTCTTCATGTGGAAAAGGGATATATAATTCTATTACACAAATAATATGAGTACTTTTAAGTTGAATTTAAGTTATATAAACGAAAAACATACAATGATTGAAGTCGCATAATCTTGTACATAAGTAAAACAACATACAAAGAAAAAGCATGTACAGTTAATAATCGAAGTATATAGCGCATAGTGTATACTAATATGACAAGAAACCATTCAATGAATAAAGATGGAACAATGGCCGCAATTTTTTAATATTCCGTATTCACAATTAGGGGAATTTGTATCTTTAGAGTTTGGGATTTGATACTTAGGGTTGGCCAATAGGCATAACAAGAGAATATATAATAATGCGTCTGAACGCATCCAGTATATAGTGGCTATTTCTTTCCCAAAAGAAAATATAAAAAAATTGCAGTTCTTAATTTTCTAATGGAAAGGAGGAATTTTTCTCTCTTTTTTAATATGGAAAGGAGGAAATTTTACAGAAAGCAAACTTATATTTACCATGCTACTCCATTTGCATTATTAACTCCCTACTTATTAAAATGCTAAAGATGTGGTCTTTAAATTTATTTTTTTCGTATAATATTTTGTTGGTCCCTTTTAGATGTGGTTGCAGCTAACAAAGATTAATGTGGTTGAACTAATCACTATGAGGCCTATCCATCTAAACATTTTAATTATAAATGACAATTGACAAGGGTAGATATATCTAAGTTTTATTTATTATTTATCAAAGTGTAGGCTCAAATTAAAGATCATGTGAAGATTCATGCGGAAATATTCAAATCATATCCAATGAGGGCACAGTCTACATACATATCATGAACTTAAAGTTTCTTTCATCCCTTCACATACGTAATAACTTCATCAAAGAATAGGAAAACTTTGGTGCGAAATAATTATGGTTAGAAGCAGAGTTAGAGTTATAGTACCTTTTTTTTTTGGTAACTAACTTTTTATTAATCACCAATAATAGTGTCGTAGGTAGCTAACTCGGCTATCTATCATATTTACAATGGATCTCATATCTCTTCCTAGGCTTCTATTTAGAATCTATATCTATGTACTATCTCATCTATTCTAGGAGGAGCTCGCACACAACATACACATGCAATCTCCTTTGCTATTCTTTCACACTCTACACTTGTTTTCTCAAATATTCTTTGGTTTCTCTCAATCCATATGCGGTGTACTATCTCTGTGTATACCTTCTTGAAGAGTTGGGCTTCTCTTGATTTTTCTTTAGCTATCCTGATCACTTCCTCCACATGTTGTTCCCAATCCCCTGCTGCTATGTTTTGGCTATGTGTCCATTGCATTATCTTGTTCATCACTGCCTTCATGTAGTCACATTCCACATAGAGATGGAATCCTGGGTTGTTCTCCCAGTAAATGTAAATAAATTTGATTAATGACACTCTTGCATGTGCACACATGTATACTTTCCTGCTCTAGGATATTCTTTGCTTCTAGGATTTTCCTCACCATCCAGCTTGCTTGTTTTGGCACTGTTGCATGCTCTATCTGTTGTCCTTTTATATAGTATGTATGTATCCACCTTATCCACAACTTGTCCTTTTTTCTTGCAAGATCCCAGTACAACTTTATTATAGCTGCCTTGTTCCATAGTCTTAAGTTTATCAAATTCCACCCTCCACTACTTTTTGGAGAACAAACCTTGTCCCAGTTGATCAATGCTTTCCTTGTTATTACATTGTTGTATGTTCATAAGTAGCTCCTGCAGAAACCTTCCACTATTTTTATCATATCTGCTGGTAGTATAAATAATTGTGCCCAATAGGATTGAAACCCAAATAGTACATTTCTTATCAGTTGAGCTCTTCCTCCATATCAGTTATTTTTTTGTTGTCCATGATGTAATTCTTGCCACTATCTTCTCAATGAGGGGTTGCCACTGCATTAGTGTCAGCTTCTTTGTAGATAGAGGAACTCCCAAATACTTGAATGGTAGTGCTCCCTTTGTGAATCCCAGTTGGCTCAGTATCAGCTCTTGTTCAGCATGTGGTACACCTCCAAAATAAATGAAGCTCTTTACTAAATTTGCTTACAAAAATGATGCCTTTGAGAACTGGTTGAAACTATGTTGTACTTCTGTTACTGAAGAAACATCACCTCTTGAAAATATCAGCAGGTCATCAGCAAAACATAGGTGAGTTATTTCCAGCTTTGCACATCTAGGATGATAGTGAAATTCTTTCTTCTTAGTCATCAATTTTAAGTTGTGACTCATGTATTCCATTGCAATTGCAAACAGGAAGGGAGATATAGGATCTCCTTGCCTGAGACCTTTGCAGCATTGAAGGGGTCTGTTGGTTCACCATTCACCATAATAGTATAGTTCACAGTCTTTACACATTCCATTACCCAAGCTATGAATTTACCAGGGAATCCCAGTAGGTTCATAATTTGTTCCAAGTAGCTCCATTCAACCGAGTCATAGGCCTTCTGGAGGTCTATTTTAAACATACATCTTGGTGACACATATTTCCTTATATAAGCTTTGATTAATTCATGGGCCATGATGATGTTATCTCATATTTTTCTCCCTGGAATAAACCTAGCTTGAGATTCACAGATGATGCTGTCAATTACTTTTTGTAGCCTTACTGATAGTATCTTGGAGATTAGTTTGTATAGCATTGTGCAGCATGCTATTGGCCTATATTTTTTTATTGTTGTTGGATTGTCAGTCTTTGGGATCGGGGTAATGGTTGTGCAATTAATGGCTCTATACATTCTTCCAGTTGAGAAGAACTCCCTCATTGCTTTAGTCACCTCTTCCCCAATGATGTACCATGCTTTTTGGAAGAAGACAACATTATATCTATCTACTCCTGGAGCTTTGCCATCCTCTATGGCTTTCAATCCAGCTTCTACTTCTTTCTTTGTCACTTCTGCACATAGCATCAGTCTTTGTTTTTGATTCAAGGTTGGGCCTTTTTTTCATTATAGCTCTGCTTTCTGCTGGAAGACTTCTTGCAGATGTTCCCATTAAACTCTTGTAAAACTAAATGGCCTGTTCTTTGATCTCTTTAGGCTCATTAATCTTCCTTCCATCTAGAGTTGTCAGCTCTCTTATCTGTTTTCTGTGAGTTCTTTCCTTCATTACAACTGAGAAATACTTTGTGTTTGCATCTCCCAATTGTATCCATTTAGCTTTAGCTTTCTGCTTCAAAATGCTTTCTTCAACCATTGACCATTTTTTCAGGTTCTGTAATGTGATCTTTTCTTGTTCCTGTATAACCTCGTTATATGTCTGCTGCAGGTTGCTCTGAATTGCCATAAGTTCATTTCTTGCATCCTTTATCTTCTGAGTCACAGCTCTAAATTCATTGTTGTTCAACTGCCTTAGTCTTGGTCTAAGTGCTTTCAATTTTTTCCATATGCATCTTATAGCCCAGGGATCACTTATTTGTATCCAAATGTCTTCTACCATCTGTTCAAACTCTTGATGATCTGCCCAAACATTGAAGAATCTAAATGGATACTTTATGGTTAATTGATCAACTTCCATAGGAAGGATCATTGGAGCATGATCATATATCCCTGGCAGACCATACTCCATTGTTATATTGCCCCATTTCATCATCCATTCATAATTACCAAAAGCTCTGTCAATTCGGCTAAAAATTATATCCTCTACTCGTTGCTTGTTTGTCCAAGTGCAGTAGTCACCTCTCCATGATAGTTCACTTAGGTTGGTTGTTTGAATGCAGTCAACAAAATCTTGTATATCTGCCTGATGGACTGTATTCCCATGTAGTCTATCCATTGAATACAACAATGCATTAAAATTTTGTAACACTAGGTACTGTAATGCCTTGAGCTAGTGTTTTCAGGGATTCCCAGAGCTCTTTTCTCTGTTTATTATTATTGAACCCATAGATGACAGTAATCACACACGCCAACTCTATAGTGTGTCCTTTTACTTCACAGTGAATCATTTGTGCTCCTTCTGCTTTCTTATTTACTTGATACCTATTAGTGTCCCATAACACCCATATTCGACCATTACTAGTTGTTGAGTAGTTATGTAACCATCCCCATCCTTGGGCTATATTCTTACTCATAGCCTCATCCTTATTCTCCTTAACCCTTGTTTCTACTAGAGCAAATATTCCTATTTTTTTTATTTTCAATATATTTCCTACTTCCTTCTGCTTATATCTCTTATTCAATCCTCGTATATTCCACACAAGCCAAGTCATATTGATCGTTTTGTTCTACCTCCTATATCGGGAGGTTTTGATTGAACCCATTTCACTTCTATCACTTATCTATTCAAATACTCCAAACCCAATATTTAATGGCACTGATCCTAGTACTGGAAAATTGATGTCATTTAGTTCTGGGCTTGCTCTTGCTTTACTCTTGCTCGTGTTTGCTGCCACTGGGGTTGTGTCCTTTTTTTGCACTTGCATATTGGTGTTCACCACCCCTGAATTCTGCCCTGCTTCTGTGACTCTTATCATTGTATTTGTTTCCACCTGTTGATGATTGTCTTGATTAGGCTTTGGCAGATGTTCCTCTTCCACATGTTGCTTTGCTTTGCCTTTGTCTTTAGTAATCCATTGCCGCACTATTTTCTTTGTTCCCCTCTTTTTTTTCGTTTGATCCTTATGTTGTTGCTTTTGTCTTCTACCTTCATGTTGACACTTATGCCCAATGGCTTGGCATTTTTCACAGAACATTGGCTTCTAATCATAAATGATTGGTTGTAGGAATACTCTCCCATTTGGATACTCCATAGTTATCTCATCTAACAGTGGTTTAGTTATATCAATCTCAATTAGCATCCTTGCATAGGATACTCTGATTTTCTTAGCAGTACATTCATCTGCGTACATGGGTGTTCCAATTGAGCTGGCTATCCTGCTAAGTGAATTATTCCCCCAACAATTCAGTGGTAGCTTAGGGAATTTGATCCACAAAGGAATTTCTGTTGGAAACTCCTTCTCAAAATCGAAATCTGTTGTCCATTGCTTGAGAATAATAGGTCTATTGTTGATAGTATATGGGCCAGAATATAGAATTTCCTGCATATCTTCTCTCCTTTTGAATTTGATTATGTAATAGCCCTCCTCATGCATATACAGATGTGGTTCTGGAATAGCATTCCAATTTAACTCTATATACCTCTTCATAGCATTATAACCCGATATGTCCCCAATTACATATGCAATTAGAGCCCCTTTCCATTTCTCAGTTTCTCTATCAACTTCATCCTTATCCAATTTTACAATTATTTGACCATTGACAATCTGTGGTGGGATATAAGTTAGGGCCATACCATTTTCAGCAGCCCTATTCTTAGCAAATAGGTTAACCCACGTTTGAGTGCCTTCCTTCTCTGCATGCTTGTTCTCCTCTCCTGCTGGAATTACAGTTTCATTGCTTTGTTTCACTGGTGGGATAGTGATTTCCATTGTCTTCTCTATTTCTAGATCTGCTCTTTCCTCTTGTGTTGATGGGCTCAATTGGAGCTTTTTCATCGCTCCAGTTGATGATTCTCCTTGATTCCCCTCTTTAGATCCCCTTTGTTCGTGGGGGATGCTGGTATTTCTTCATCAATGTTCCTGGGTTCTGAGCTACGAGTTCCTACTGAGCTCCCGATGGTGATGATCGGTACTTTTTTTTGGGCGACCTCGCCCTCTTCCTCATCCTCTTCCATGTCCTCTCGCCCCTGCCATGGACACACCGGCGTAGGTTAACTACCTTACGCCGAGAGCATAGAGAGAGAGTATATAGTTACGGGTTTGACATAACACAAAAGTTTTAGTTAAAATTTTATATTTATATTAAAAAATTAATTGAATACTTATAAATATTTTATCCAAAATTAAGTAAGTTGTCTTTTTTAGAATTCGAAATTCATAGACTCAAAATTGTGATCTACCTCTATTATGGCTACCAACAAGTGCCAATACTAATTCGTGACGTGGACGGTAAAAGATTCCCTGTGTTAAATTATTTTCTAATTTTTCAAGCAAGTTTCTGGATGGTCCATTCTGACTTGGTCAAAGGATGAGGTATACAATTGCATCTGTTATGTATCAAGTTTTGTTAACCGAATTTCTTTTAAATAAAATATATTAAATTGATTGCATTATATTATATGCATGTTATTCTTCTTATTTTTTTTAAAGACATAGTCACATAAGCGGATTTTCCGTAACCACTGGAAGTCACATGTTGCAAAGAAGCTAGACAGTGCATGACTTGTGAATAAAAAAGAATACTAATCATATAACTAGAAAATTAATAGAGCAAAAAGAAATGGGAAAAAAAATTTAGAACCTCATAGCACGTTAGCCATCACTTTCTCATTAAGTATATCATTTGATTGATAAAAACCAGGATTGTAATTATCAATCATGTTTTTTAAAGCATGGATAATCTAATTAAATTTAGAGAACTTGCAGTTTTGAGAAGCTCCTAAATTGTCTTAATTAAAAACGAATTGTTGATCAACATTAGATTTCAATCTAAGGATTCACTTAACATTATACTGATCATACGATAACTATTACAAGAAGATGTAAATTTAATAGACAAATAATTAAATGTAGTTTGATCTTCTAAATATCAGAATAATTATTTATTAGAAAAATTTATTGTGTCCCAACTCTCAAATAAGACAAGTACTCCATTTTTTTAAGAACATCCTTCCAAATTGAAACATTGGTAAACTTCATTAACGTGACAATATGAAACGGCGCGGTAGCACACAGTTTTTTTTCTTGGTCAGGATTTAAATTATAAAATGTTAAATTTTAAAGTTTCTAGCATTGAATTAAAGTTATGAAATAATATATTATGTTACAATTTTAATTGAATTTTATATATAAATTTATACATCACAACAATATTAGTGAGTTTAGATGAAACCAACGGCTCAACTTTATATTCGCCTCTGCTTTACAAGACAGCTTAAGTAAGTTTAGTTGGCTACCCACTCTTTTAAGTATAAAAAATTGTTCTTTTAGATATCTTTATCACTTTATTATAATATACTTCTATAGTACATTTGTTTTTCTTCCCTTTCATGTTTCCATGAAACTTTTCTTGTATTCATTTTTCTTATTTTCACACTTAAATCTAAAGGGTTCGCCAACTATTCTTTTACCCCTTTTTATTATCTCTCTCTCTCACTATCTATATCTTTGAGTTTGACCCGTTGCCACCTACCGGCAGCTTCTTTGCTCCCCTCCAATGGCGACCCCACCACCCACCCAGTCCCCCACCTAAGCTTTCCTTTTCCTAAGTGTATAGGAAAAACGTAAGCTTTTTTACTTGTTGCATCTCTTTCAGAGCCCCCTTCCCTTTCTCTCAATCCAACCCCTTATTTAACCTTTCCTATCTCCTTTCTTTTCTCTTTCCCCTTTCTCTCAAACCCTAATCTACAGGAGTTTTTGAAGAAAAAGAAATGCAGAATATCTGATACAAGAATTCAAATCTAATCTTTTTACTTTTTTTTTACAGCCCCAGATATTTGTTTTCCTTTTTTTAATATTGTTCGAGTACAAGCTTGTGGTCCAAGAAAGTGAACTTGATGAGCTAACTCCATTGTTTAGATCATCTATTATCAGAACTTTCAAGATATATGGGTACCTTTTTAAATCTTTTCTTGAATCTATTAATACTGTTTTTTATTTGTATTTTGGTTTCTTGGGTTTACCTCTTTCTGGATTAATCTCTATACTATATTGGTGCTTCCTATCTCAGAATCTTATTCAAACTTTGCAACTATCGCTTTCTCTTTTGCAGGTTTTAGTAAATATAGCTCTTAAGACTTTTCTTTCCCTATTCCTTTCTCTTGACCTTTTAACTACATTAGAAGCCAATGGATTCTGGGAATAGTGGTAGTATGCAATCTTCAAGTGGTGGTGATGAAGAGTATGATTCACGTGGAGAATCCATTTCTACTTTCTTGAATAATAATAATAATCCTTCTCTTCATTTTGGTTCAATATCTTCTAATAATAATCCACCTCCACCTTTTCTTTCTCACCACCAACATCCCACTTTCTTTGATCCTCACTCACAAAATCTTGACACCAATTTCCCACAAAATGCAAATTCTCAGTTTAATACTAATGATCTCATTTGGTCACAACGGGGTCTAAGATCTGACCAAAACTTCAACAACTTTGGTACATCCTCATCAAATGCTACTCAAGCTGTTCTTCATCAAAACCTTTTTTCGGGTTCATCTTCAGTACCATTACAACAATCTTTGATTGAAGCTGCGGGTAATGTTGTACAACGGGCTTCGAACTCGGCCCAGCCCGAACATCAGCCCAATGTGGTAAAAAATCCGAAAAAACGAACCAGGGCATCAAGGAGAGCGCCAACTACTGTCCTTACTACTGACACCACAAATTTTCGACAAATGGTTCAAGAATTCACTGGCATCCCTACAGCTCCGTTTACTGGTTCAGCCTACACTCGCCGCCTTGATCTTTTTTCTACAGCTGGCTCAGCGATGAGGTCGGGTCATTTGGATACTCTTGGGCCACTTTACCCTTTAAGGCCTTCAGCACAAAAGGTTAATCAAGTATCTCCATTTATGCCACAATTATCTTCTTCTACTAGTACTTCTTCATCATCACTGTTGAGTTCTAGCATGATTGATGCTTTAATGCCAACAAATAATAATACTGGAAACAAAAACTCTATAATTGGTACCAGTACTACCATGGCCTCAACCTCTACCTCGACAAATTTTCAACTAGGTTCTGATCATCTTGGAATACAAAAACAAGCACAAAACTTGTTCAACATGCAGAATCAGATTCTTTCATTTAAGCAGCATCATCCATTGGTTAATAATGCACAGGTTTTTGGCACAAAGTCATCACAAGGAACAAATACTATTGTTCCTTCTTTAGATGAGCTTGGAATAAGTCACGATCAACAAGTCAGTGCAAATCTTATCAGTGGATATAAGGGAGAATTTCTAGTCAAACAAGAAATGATGGAAATAATCTTTCAAGATTATGGAGATCAGGTGGTAATGGTCATAATGATGGAGGTCAAGAAAATCAGCTGAGATCGTCTTTTGGTGGTAACAACAATAATAACAATAATGGTGGAAGTTCATTACAACAACAACATGTTAGTGGTTATAAGTTGAATTGTTCAGGTAATTCTTCTACATCAGAATTCCATCAACATGAGAAGGGTTTGGAAAATGTATGCTCAACAGGTGAAGGACCAGTTTCTTCTTGGACTAATTGCCCTTCCGAGTAGAAAAAGGACAGTTGCACTAAGTTCCTGTTATGCGTGTGGTCAAGGGAAGGATCGGACCACTATGCCCTTCCAAGTAGAATTAAGAAGAAACAATCACAGCTGACGATTGAAAAAAAATTGTTAACTTGAGTAAGTTAGTATTCTGCGCAATGGGATAGAATTCATTGATGACTGAGATCACTTTGGTGAGTTTTTCCTTTTAATTATTGTATTTTAATTTGTTTTTGATTAATTATATACCTTGTAATACACATGTAGATATAGCATATTTTGTACTCCTTTGATGATTAAATATTTGGTAGAATATATGGGAATTCTGGGAAGGTATTATCTGGTTGTTTTCTTCGTTTTATCATAGTTAAGGTGGTTCCTTTTTTCTTTTATTTTTTGGTTTTAATTATGCACCGATCGTATTGTAAGGTAGAATCTTTGAGAATAGACTTCATTACACAAAATTCCTTTATTTTTATTTAATGGTAAAATCAAACTTGTCAGCAATGGCATGCGTACTGATCAGTATTTACACAGAGACGCGGTGTTACATGTTATTCCTTTCGAATCATCTTTCACATTTTGCATTTCCCCTATTCCTAACAAGTATTTTAGAAAATTTATGCAAAACAACCAAAGTACTTGTATATTTGTACAAAATTGTGAGTATTACCTAATAATTAATTTGTTTTTCAGAAATGTCTCAACTCTCAAATGACGTTTCAAATAACAATAACTACCCAGTAATATTCCAAGTGTGAGGTCCGGGAAGAGTAGTGTGTATGTAGACTTTACCCTGCCCGGGAGATTTCAAAAAGGAAAAAAAACGCTTAACCAAACAAATAAAAAGAAGGCCACCCTAAATTACTTAGACTAGGAGTTTTACATAGTACATCTACTGATAAATTAGTACTCTAACTTTTATCATTTTATTCCACTTTAAAAATAATATTTGAACTCTTGAATTAATTGTTTGTGTATATAAACACTAGTCAAGCCATTATCACTTATATTGTTTAATCTCAATCTATTTCATTTGCTTTTAGCGAGGATGAAGTTTGTTGGTCAACTAAAGACAGCCAAACAAACTTGCATAAGTCAATAAAACAGTAGCGTAAATTTCTAGGTTAAGAATATTAACCAGAGCACAATGGATATATATATATATATATATATATATATATATATAAAAGTTAGTGTTTTCACATTGTCATATGGGAATTCTCAAAATTCTCTAACCTGAACCCCGAATTTGGTTCATCTGGATATAAAAAGATCGTATTCATGAGACCACAAGAAATTTTGCAGAAAAAAATCCAACCACGATTACTTTAACGTACATATTGGTATACAACTAATCTTTTGAGTTTAGCTTCTAAAACCTCGTAATGTAAACAATTTTTTACACACAAAAAAAATATGCAGGTAATCCTCAATAAGATAAGTTACCTACTGTAACAAAATAAAATAAGAGGCTTATGTAACATATGGGTTCATTTACTAATAGATTCAGAATCCAATAAATCAAATAGGTAGTGGAAGAATCCCAAACTCGAGACAATAGCATTCAAATCATGAATCCTGACTCTCTGGTGTAACACACTTCTTAATTTCTAGAATAGACGGCAAAATAATTTTTCTTTCGACGGACAATTTCATTTATTTAGACTAAGCTATGACCTTTTTGTCACACCTGCAGACTTACGATCTACACACGTTTCATCTCTTAAATATTAAGCAAACAATAATATTTCCAGTGGGTACCAAAACTTTTAAGACCCACCATCTCATTACAAGTCTATTCTTTTAGTACGTGGGACTATTTATTAGTTAATCAAAACTTTTCTCTAAAGTCCCCACAACTTCTTTAACTGATCCTACAATTCATATTAAATGCAAGTATACGAGTTGTTTCATATTCTGATGTCAAACTCCTACATCAAATGGAACGGAAAGCATGTTTCCACGTTTGTTATCGTTGCCCTTTTGATGAGAATCAGGGAAGAAAAATGAGATTTCAGATAATATGAAGAATTTGATTTTTAAATACCAGAAAAGTTTAAGAGCACAAAATGAATTGTTTTTGTTCTTGTTAATAAGATATGACGAAAGAAAGGAAGTAAAGGTAAGGGGAAGGGACAGAGAAAGGGTTTAGTACGATATCTAAAGCAAGAGAAATGATTAGTAAAGAGATCAGATTAGAGAAATTATTGTGTGTGTAAATGAGTATATAATATTTTTTCTACTTTCAAAATGGCAATGATAGTAAATCTTACTAGGCGAGAAAAGGGAGGCAAAAAATAAAGTGAAAAAGAAAGGGAGATGATTAGCCATGAGATTTTTGAAGATTTTAGGAGGTTTGAAAGACATGTGACAAAGCTTTATGGAATCAATGGTGGCCCCAATTTCCACAGAATAATCTGGTTTTTAGCAATGATTATTGCTTCACAATAGCTATTTATATCTCTATCCATCAATCTATTCAATCTAATATTTCTCTAACTCTCTCAACTTCATCATCCTCAGTCTCCATCTGAGAAAGCTGCTTCATCTTTTTTCATGTTTCTTCTAACACCTAGCTTTAAACTATGGTGAAAGCGGGCCTCTTCTCTTTATTCTATACACTTAATGGGCGTTTGGAGACTGAAATTTCGGGAAAAAGTAGGGGGAAAAATTAAGTGAAAATGGTATTTAAAATTTAGAGTTGTGTTTCAACATGAATATAATTTGGAGTTGTTTATGAATTCTTTTTAGTTATTTGAGGTGAAAACTTTGAAAAACGTCTTTTTGAAGTTTTTCAAATATTCGAAAAATTCTGAAATTCAATTTCAAGTGAAATTTGAAAATTTTATAATCAAATACTGATTTCGAAAAAAGTAAAAAAAATTCCGAAAAAATAATGAATTTTTATGGCCAAACGGGCCTTTAGATTATCAAATAATAATGTTCTTTTTTAACTATTAGTCAAACTTTTAGACGAAACAATTTAGTAGGCGTTTAGAAATAAAAATTGTAATTTTGAAAAAAAAAAGTATTTGGAGTTAAATTAAAAAATGGCGACATGCATTTTATTTGAAAAAATATTGCACTTTTATGAGTGGGAAAACAAAAGTTTCTGAAATTTTTGAAAAATCATCAAAACCACTTTTTGATTTTGAAAAACTAATTTTCGAAAAAATTTCAAAAACTTGCAAAATTTTAAGGACAAACATATTTTTGAAAGAAAAAAATCGAAAAAAAATCTATGGACAAACGGGTTTTCTAAGCCCCGTTCGGCCATAGATTTTGCCAAGTTTTTTTTTAAAAATATTTTGGCAAAACATGTTTGTTTATGGATTTTATCAATATTTTGGAAGATTTTGAAAACAAAATTTTCAAATCCCAAAATTAGCTAGACATGTTTTTTTCCCAAAATATTACTGTTTGATTTTTTAACAATTCTAAAAATTACTCCAAATTTTTGTATTTTAAAAAAAAAATCCAGCTTCTATTATGACCAATCTAATCCACCAACTAATTACTTTCATTTTCTTTTGGATTGATAGATCTTGTAATATTATTGCAATTTGACGAATTATAGTGGCTAGTAATTATGTTATTAACAGTTGATATTAAAATATCAAGTTATGATTTTAGGATAGTGTATTATGTAGTTTATTATAAATATAATAATTTTGTGCCAAATTTATCTATATTCAGGACTATGGTTTGTGATAATGATAATAAAGGTTCTGCATATACAGGATTAGTAAGTTTGTTTGTTTGGTATTATTGGGTATTTTTGATAGTTTTTAAAACTTATGAGTATCAGTCACATTTCATTTATTTTTTAATAAAAAAAGTGAAATGTGTTTGGAAAAATTATGTTCAAACAGATTTTTATTTTCAAACCAAACTTCACCGAAATCAAATTTTTTAAAATAAATTTAAAAATTTATGACCAAATGCTAGCTTAAATTCATGAAAATATAAAAAGGGAGGGGGAGGCTGTTTGAGCACGCAATGGCATGATTACTTGTTGAAAGGGCAGAGAAGTAAAAGTGAAAATTTTTAATAGGTCTTTTAATGCTATCCGGGAGCTCGGATAATTTTTAGTTGAATAAGCCATTAAGTATTTAGATTGAATAATTAAGAAGAATATTTTTAATAAAAATACATAATAACTAATTCTTAAACACATCAGTTACGCCTCTAAGAATATTGTTGGAACTAATTTATAAATAAGAAAAATAACAAATAAAAAGAATAAAAGATGAACAACTAGAACCTGTGGCAATAAATAATTCTTAATGACAGTTGCGGTAAAGCAAGCCTTGTCAATCTATCAGAACTTACCGCGATTCTATGTGAATATTTTGTTCCATTATTTATAACCTAATTTGTACTAAAGTCATGACGATCTATTACGAATTGTCGCAAGGCAAATTTGCCCATCCATTAGAACTTTTGCCGATCCGTTAGAACTTGCGACCAAGTGCCCCACAAGCTTCCAAGATTTATTTAGACGTTGATCAAAACTTAAATAGTGTCACTCAATTAACATATTTGTGGAAATTACCCCTCTAACTGACAAAAAATTGCACATGCGTCCTATTTGGGCGTCCCCATTTAACATGTATCCACTTTTAATTTTTTTAGCTTGTACCCACTGTTTACACTCTGTTTGGATCATTGTTACCTACCATTTTATAATATATTGTATTGTATCGTATCGTATCGTATTGTATCGTTTTATGAATATAACTGTCACGCCCCAAAACCGAGGAGCGTGACTGGCGCTCAACCGAGTGAACCCGACCGAGCAAGCCTGTTAGATTTTCTTCTACCCAAACTCATCCACGAAAGAAGATAATACATATTTTCATTAATTAGACAAAAAGGTGTTCATGCTCACAATACCAACTCATTATCAATAGTTCCATCGTTTTTAGTTATCTTAACTAGAACAAGTAATACAACCATAATATAACGTAGTTTGTCTTTTCCAGTACCAATACAAAATCCACACTATGTCTACGGAGCCTCTATAGATAAGGAAGAGTACAATGATAATGCCGGCAATAAGGCCCCGGCTATACCTCAACAATAATACATAACGAACAAAAGATACATGACCCCGGGATGAAGTAGGGCTCACCAAGTCAGCTGGGAAGAAGGTGTACTGCTATCACTGATCAATGTCTCCTGCTGTGGAACCACCTGCATCCATTTAAAGATGGAGCGCCCCCGGCAAAAGGGACGTTAGTACCGTCGAATAGTACTAGTATGAAAACTAAACACCAATTTAAAAATTTAGAAATACAAAATAATTATGATGAGCCAGTGCGGTAATAGAA